CATGTGTGTTTGTGGGGATATAAATTCCCCTCTTATTAGAGCTTTTAAGGCATCCCAGAGATTTTGGTAAGATGTTTCTTTATTTTCATTTGTTTCCAGGTATCTTTTGATCTCTATTTTGATGTCATCATTGACCCAGGAGTTATTTAGCATCATGCTGTTTAGTGTCCATGTCTTTGTGGGTTTTGGGGGGACTTTGTTGGTGTCAATGTTTATTTTTATTCCACTGTGGTCCGAAAAGGTGCATGGCAGAATTTCAGTCCTTTTAAATTTGCTTATACTTGATTTGTGTCCAATTATGTGGTCGATCTTAGAATATGTTCCATGTGGTGATGAGTAGAATGTGTATTCTGTGGTCTTTGGATGGAGTGTTCTATAGGTATCAATTAAGTCCATTTGGTCCAGAGTCTCATTGAGGTTCCGGATCTCCTTGCTGATTTTTTGTCCTGATGATCTGTCTGAGGTTGTGAGTGGTGTATTAAAGTCCCCAGTTATTATGGTGTTAGAGTCAATGTCTTTCTTTAGTTTTCCTAGAAGTTGCTTTATGAATGTTGGTGCGCCTATGTTGGGTGCATATATGTTTAGGATAGATATTTCTTGTTGATGGAGTGAACCTTTTATCATTATGTAGTGGCCCTCTGTATCTTTTTTAATTTTTGATAGCTTAAATGGTATTTTGTCTGAAATTAGGATCGCGACTCCTTTCTTTTGTGTTCCATTCGCCTGAAAATTTGTTTCCCATCCTCTTTGAGTCTGTGTATGTCCTTTCTAGTGAGATGGGTCTCTTGAAGGCAGTATATTGTTGCCTGGTGATATTTTATCCATTTTGTCATTCTATGTCTTTTCAGTGGTGCGTTTAGTCCATTCACATTCAGACTAATTATTGAAATGTGAGAGTTCATCCCTATCATGGAGCTCTTATTGAGTTGTTGTTCTTCCACTTGGTTTTTCCTTTTCTCTTTTTTTCTTAAAATTTTGTCTTTCTTAAGGTTTTGGGGTTGGTTCGTGTATATTTTATTCTTTTCCCTGTACTCTTGTGAAGAACGTTGTTCTTTTTTCCTTTTCTTCTGTGTTTAGTACTTTCTTAAGTGTTTCATGTAGAGATGGTTTTGTGGCTGCATAAGTTCTTAGGGATTGGATATCTGGGAAAGATTTTAATTCTCCCTCACTGATGAAGCTTAGCTTGGCTGGGTAGGTTATTCTTGGTTGAAATTGTTTATCCTTTAGGACTTTGAAGATAGGGCTCCAAGCTCTCCTAGCCTGCAGGGTTTCTGCAGATAAATCTGCTGCTATTCTGATTGGTCTTCCATGGTGGGTGATCTGGCCTTTTTCTCTTGCTGCCTTTAGGATTTTTTCTTTTGTGCCTACTTTATTTAGGCGAATTATTATGTGTCTAGGAGTTGATCTTCTCATTTGTTGTCTTGCGGGGGTTCTCTGAATCTCTTGTGTTTGAATTTTTGTATCACTGATTAGATAAGGGAAATTTTCTTGAATGATCTCGTGGAAAGTTTGTTCCAATGTGGTCTCTGTTTCTCTTTCTGCCTCAGGGAGTCCGATTATTCTTAGGTTAGGCCTCTTGAGGTAGTCACTCATCTCTTGAAGGTTTTGTTCTGTCTTTTTTAGCTTATTTTCTGTGTTTTTAAGAGTTTGGGTTATTTCTATATTTTGGTCCTCAAGCTCTGAGATTCTTTCTTCTGCTTGGGTAATTCTGCTTTCCATGCTTATCAATTTGTTATTTATTTCATTCACAGTATTCTTTATTACTGTTATCTCAGATATCAGCTCCTTCCTAGTTTCTTCTTGTGTCTCCTCAATTCTTTTTAGTCTCTCCATTATTGTTTTGATATCTACATTTGCATTTTGAGACCCTTCATTCTGGGGACTTTTCATTGTTGTATTCCAAAGTCAATTTTCTCAGTGTCTGCTCTCCCAGGCGTCTGGGAGAGACCCATACTCTTCTTTTGGTTTTTCTTCATTTCTGTAGATTTTTCTCCCTTTACCCCTTTCCCTCCCCCTCTTCAATTCAGTTTTTGAGGGAAGGTGGGGTTGTTTTTATTTCTCTTCTGCAATGACCTGTTCTTCTTATGAGGGTCTTCTGGTTTTGTTCACTTTTCCCTCTGTTTTACAGTCTGTCTATTCAGCAGTTTGCAGTCTTGGTCCGTTCAGAGAATCTCACCAGTTCACCTATGCCGTCGCCATCTTGCCCCGTCTCTCAGTAATTAACATTTTAATGAGAGTCTACTATATGCTCAATTCTGAGTTCCATGCATTACATGGATTGTTTCATGTTTCTAATGTCAACCTGGTTCCTTTTGTAGGATTACTATTAATATTTGGAAGTCAATGATTTATATGGTCATTGTTTGATAAGCAACTAAGACCTCCCATCAGCAGAATAAACATTTCTAGCTATTATTTGCCTCACTTGAAAAAAAGTTGGGGGCTTTTGTAAAGCAATGGTTAGGCCCAGCCATTGGGCTGCCAGTTGAGAACCTTATTCATTTTAGATTTCAACTTTTTTCCCCTCCCCCTTTATTCTAGGCAGAAAATTGAACGCAGCACTCTAACGGGCACAGGGCGTGAAGTCATTGTCGGCACAGCCTTTCACAGTTTCGGCTTGACTCTCTATGGCCAATATATTTACTGGACTGACTTGTACACCAAAAAAATTTACCGAGCTAACAAATATGATGGGTCAGGTCTGATTGCAATGACCACAAATTTTTTTGCCCAGCCTTGGGGTATCAGCACTGTTGTGAAGAACCAGAAACGGCAATGTAGCAATCCTTGTGATCAGTTTAATGGGGGCTGCAGCCATATCTGTACACCAGGTAAGGCAATGATCATGAAGATTAAAAGATGGAGCTTGATAACAACTGGTAAGGAAGGGTATAAAGGAATATTTAACTCTAACAAGAGAAAAAAAAATCCCAATTCTATTTGATATCAGGGTAATTTGTAAAATAGATGTGGGGCTGTACTTTGGAAGGAAGACTTCGGTAGGTTTCTTTTCTATTTTATATGGAGCCCTTTTATATGAAGGCATTTTCAATACAAGCTTGATGGACGTAGAAAGACAGATGAGGGCATTGGCTGCCCCACTTCATGACTTAAATAGAAATTCCATCAATGAGCTTACCTTTTCTATAAATGGATTTAGTTTTTCTGCTTAGGAGATATTGTTTGAAATATTTCTGGGGATAGTTGAGAGTGATCTTATGTGCTTCACTGTGGGTTTTTATAAAGAACAAATGCATGGAAGGGTGTGTTTTTTGATATGGATGCTTTGCAAATTTTGCTGAAGAGATAATTGTTGTCATTTCAGATGAGAAGTAGTTGTTTAAAGATTATAATGAATTAGCACATTTATTAAAAATTAATAGTTGATCATCTTGATGGAAAAATAACTCGGGATATACATAGTTGAGTGGTTAATCGGCAGAATTTCTATGTCTTGTAATAGCAGTTAACTAGAAGCTATCGCAAGTGCTGTTCTGGGGGAGACAAAGTGAATGGCTCCTTACATTAGTCTTTGCTGCTTCTGGGTCTACCTTTTTTCAGGTCCAAATGGTCCTGAGTGCCAGTGTCCACAAGAGGGCAGATGGTATCTGGCCAACAACAATAAGCACTGCATTGTGGATAACGGTGCACGGTGTGATGCACTGCAGTTCACTTGCTTCAACGGGCGCTGCATCTCAGATCAGTGGAAATGTGACAATGACAATGACTGTGGTGATGACAGTGATGAGATGGAAAATGTCTGTGGTAAGTTAGACTTCTGTCATTTTTGTTAGGAGCTAACGACGTCTTTATACCAAGTGTTTGGGGAAGAATCCTTCTATGTGTGAATGCGTGCCCAAGCATGTGTGCCCAAGCATCCTGTTTCAGCTGGAAAACATTTACTCTGATAATCCAGACTAGGTTTCTTTCAAATCACCTCTGATGGTAAGAGTGAAAACACTGGACTAAAATCCTGGTTGTTCCATTTACAATCTATATAAGCCCTAGGAAAGTTATTTAACCCCTGTGGGCCTCTGACATCTCATCTACAAAATGAAGCTATTACTAAGGTTCTTGTGAGGAGCAAGAGAAACTGTGTAAACACTCAGTATGAGGCATGGGGCATGCTAAACTTAGCTTAACGTGGGACTAAGGAAACTGGTATCATTTTATTAATTTTCATAGCACAGAAGTCATTAATTCAGTAATTTCATGGAAATCACATCCACTCCTCAACGTCCATTTGAATGATATGAGTAAAGCACAGTGCATGTTCTGAGGTTTGTTACCTTTTCTAGCAGATCATGTACAGGCTAGGAGTTTTTATTTTCCCCAAATATAGTGTATTTGTATGCTTTTCTGTGATTAACAGATTACAGAGAAATTGACTTAGATTTGTGTTTAAAATATTTAATACATTTGTTTAAAAAAGACATATGATGTATTTTTCTAATCTAATTTAAAGTCTTATCTCACTTTCCATGCAGTCCGATTTGCAGCATTTTTTACCTTCGAAGGTAATCTCAAAGTGCCCATTTTATTTAATTGTATCTTTTAAGAATTTAGGTTAATGCTTTAATTAAGAAGATTTTTCAGTGATTTTTTTTTTCCTTTTTAGCATTTCACACCTGCCCGCCGACAGCCTTTGTCTGTGCCAATGGGCGATGTGTCCAGTACAGATACCGCTGTGATTTCTACAATGACTGTGGCGACGGCAGTGATGAGGCAGGGTGTCTGTTCAGGGACTGTAACACCACCACGGAATTTACATGTAGTAACAGAAGGTGCATACCTCTTGAGTCCGTCTGCAATGGTGTAGACAACTGCCATGATAATAATACTTCAGATGAGAAAAATTGCCGTAAGTTGATTTTAAGTACTTATAGGATTTTTGGGTCTGGGGTTTCAGATCATCACAGATGAAATTTTTATATAAAAACAAAGGTTTTCTGGAAAAAAAAAAAAAGCAAACTAGCATTCATCCAAAACAGAGATTTTCTTTAAATGATTTTTAAAACAACTGCCTAATATTAGAATTCACTTAAATTGATGGATCCATACAACTATTGAATATTTTAACCTTAAATATTTTGTCCTTGTGTATCTGCTAGATTAAAAATTTCTTTGATAAATTTTTTTACTGTTTTAAACTTTTAGCAATAGTTATTGACAAAAATTATTTATTGTGTGAATTCATTGTGGTTAATGTTTATTGTGCAAAAAACTATATAGCCGTGTTGACTAAAATGGGTTTTCTCTTTAGTTTTTCTGGTAAATAGCTGTTTAGTTAAATAATTTTTCCAAACTTTCTGGGATTTGTGTCTTAACATCCTTGGAAAAGAAATAAGCAGAGTTTAAGTTCAAGTACGGTACGTGTAGTTTGGCTTTATCTACAAGTTTTACTTTTATAGATAGAGTTATACACAAACTTTTATTTTTGGTCTACTTTTAAAGAAAAGTTTTCTTTTGAAAACTTCAACCATGCACTGAAGTAGAAAGAACAGTATAATGTACCCAATCACCCAGCTATAATAATTATCAACAAATGTCAATCTTGTTTCATCTGTCTCCTTTTTTCCTAATATTTTAAAACAACTCCTACACACATTTCACTAATAAAGACATTTTGAAAACAACTCCCATGCTATAATGCCTGGCAAAATCAATAGTACTTACTTAATACCCTCCAGCACCCAGTCCATATTCAAATTTTGTCATTTATCCCCCAAATGTCTTTTTACTGTTGCTATGTTCAAATTAGGATTCAGAGAAGGGCTACACATTGATTTTGATTGTTGTAATTCTTTTATCTGTTTCATGCCACATCACTTCTCACTTTTTAATGTTATTGATTTGTTAGAAAAATTGGGTGATTTGTCCTGTGGACTATCTCACATTCTAGATTTGTTTAAATGCATAATTAATCCGTTTATTTTTTTTCTCTCTTTTTGACTATGAACTTTAATTTAGACCTAGAGTTTTGATTATAATAGATTCAATTTTTTTGGATGAGAATACTTTTAGGTGGAACTGTGTATTTTCTGTCATACCACCTCATAAGACACATGATGCTTGGTTGTCCCAATTTAAGTGATGATACAGTTTATCAGTGGATTCGGTTGTCAGCTGGACTCTTCCCTTATGAAGTCTCTTTTAACTGTTCATCCAGTGGTTTTAGCATCCATGGGTGTTGTTCCATAAATCCATTATTTCTTTAAGGGTTATAAAGTGGGCATTTAAAAATTCTGATATTCCTTCTACTCTTATTAGCTCATATTCTGTAAATAAGAAATTTCCTTTATTCACTATTTGTTGTTAATTAGACTCTACAAGGTAAATGCTTGATTTTTCTTCTTTTGTTTGTCAATTTCCAGAGTAATAAGTTGGTGACCAAGGAGTGATAAGTTTTTGTTTAGTATTATATTGAACTCATACATCTTCACATATTTGATGAATATTAATATGGTGTTATCATTTATTCTTTTTGGTTCAATTTTCGGCCAGTGGGAGCCCTGTAAATTGTTTTTGCCCATTCTTTGACATGGTCTAATCAATCTTCTTAAAGCTCAGGCTTGTCTTAAATGTCATGTCCCAGATCTGGAATTAGGAGACTTAATTCCTTTTGTAGTATTCAGAAATTGCCTCAGTGTTGGGTTGCCCATCCCAGTTAGACTTTAATTGCTTCTAGTCTTTTTCTTTTTTTTTTTTTTTTTTTTGAGTCGGAGTCTCACTCTGTCATCCAGACTGGAGTGCAGTGGCCGCTCCCGGCCACCGCAGCCTCGACCTGCTGGACTCCGGCGATCCTTCCGCCTCAGCCTTCCGAGTAGCTGGAATTACAGGCATGCGCTACCACGCCCGGCTAATTTTTTGATTTTTTATTGTAGAGATGAGGTCTCGCCTGCCCAGGCGGGTCTCGAACCCACGGGCTCAGGCAATCCACTCACCTCAGCCTCCCAAAGGCGCGGGATTACAGACTGAGCCACCGAGCCCGGCTACTTCTAGTCTTTTTCAATGGTCAGAGCTAGAAAATATAGTTTTTAAGGAAAATAATTTATATTGATATTTCTCATTTAAATCTAGGTTTGCACATTGTTTACTTCTTAGATGTTATATCTCTTCTCATGCTTAAAATCTGGGTTTATAGTGACATTAACATTTGTTTTATTCTATAGTAATTTTGAAATGTCTATAACAGTTTACAATCACTCAAGTAATACCATTAACAATACTTCTACTAAATGCAAAGTTCTTCTTAAGATTATGTCTCACAAAAGAGGTGTAGTCAAAATACTGATTTTGTAGACATTCAATTTTTTTTTCTGTATAGGGTTATGCTATATCAACTTGGTATATATGTTAGTTTCATTTATTACCTTTTCCCAATTTTCTTTTCCCATCTCTATTTCATTAATTTTATTTGTATAAAATAATGTATATGGTTTCAAAGTTAAAACTGTATGACAAGATGCACTTAGAGAAGTCGTTCATCCTTTCTTTTCCTCTCTGCTCCCTCCATGCTCTTCCCAATCTATCCAGGGGTGACAGTTTTTAGTAGTTTATTTTTTCTTTGCTTTTATAATAATTACTATTATTTTTGAGTTGGACTCTCTGTTACCCAGGCTAGAGTGCAGTGGCACCATTACATCTCACTGCATCTCGACCTTCTGGGCTCAGGAGATCTTTTCTGTCTCAGTCTTCGGAGTTGAGGCAAGTCACCACACCTGGTTAATTTTAAATTTTTTTATAGTGACGAGGTCTTCCTATGTTGCCCAGGATGGTCTCGAACATCTGGGCCTAGGGAATCCTCCCCCCTCAGCCCCCCAAAATGCTGGGCTTACAAGCATGGGATGCCATGCTTGACTTATTGTTTTTAATGCAAGCATCTCTCTCTCTCTCTTTCTCTCTTTTTTGCTATACACACATACACACACACACTCATACATACACTGATATTTTTCTTTTACTTACACAAAAGATGGTCTACTGTTTTGAGTCTGGCTTTTTTTTTTTTTTTTTTTTTTGAGTTGGAGTCTCACTCTGCCTCCCAGGCTGGAGTGCAGTGATACACTCACAGCCACAGCAGCCTCAAGCTGCTGTGCTTAGGCAATCCTTCTGCCTCAGCCTTACAAGTTGCTGGAAATACAGGCATGTGCCACCATGCCTGGCTAATTTTTGATTCATTGTAGAGATGAGGTCTCGCCAAGTTGCCCACGCTGGTCTTGAACCCATTGGCTCAGGCAATCCTCTCACCTTGGCCTCCCAAGTGCTGAGATTATAGGTGTGATCCATTGCATCCGGCCTCAAGTCTTGCTATTTTTTTTTTAAACTATTAACAACATATCCTGGAAATCATACTGTTACTACTTAGCTTTCTCCTTTTGTCCTTTAGTAGCTACATATGACTCCATTGTGTGGATATGCTATAGTTTATTTAACCAAGAATTGGGACTCTTCGTGATACTAGTAATTAATGAAAACAGACTATTTAAATTACAAAGCAGCCTCTTCTCCCATCCCTCCCCTCACTATCAGCTGGAAATCTCTTTTTACTATAGAATCTGTAGGTCAGATAAGCATCATGGATGCTGTCTCCTCATAGCTTTGAAAATGCCTCCCTTCCAGTGATCTGAGTTTTACAATAGACCTATTAGCCAGGACATTGTTTATGATATATGTGTGGTGGGTATGTTCTAAATGTTTATCTGGTTGTCTTTCTCAAGCTGATCGCACTTGCCAGACTGGATACACTAAATGTCAGGATTCAAATATTTGTATTCCTCGCCTTTACTTGTGTGATGGAGACAATGACTGTGGAGATATGAGTGATGAAAATCCTACTTTTTGCAGTGAGTAAGATTAAGCTGATTCTCTTTCTGTGTTCCAATGATGTTTGCCTTGAGCTAGCTAAACAATGATATAATGTGGCTATTTGGGCTACTTTCAATTGTCTTCTTAAATTGGCTTTGTACGTAGATGCAGTAGGCTGTTGCTTTAGGATGTGACTCTGGGGCTACAAGAAATTCCTTCTCTCTGTTCTGTAGCTGGAGACCTGCTGCAATTGGAGAGATGTTTCTTCCAGTGTTGAAGGCCTTTTGTCTTCACATACTCTGGGCAGAATTTGCACATTAAACTCTTGTTATTTTCTCTTAATAACATTAGTAGTGGCTATTAGTATTTTATATCAGATTAATATGTTTGAGTTTCAGAAGCCTCTATTTCATATTTAGCAATTTGGTTCATTTAAACAATTTCCTGTATTTATAGTTCAAATTAAGCGATCTTTTTTTTGGTAAGAGTTTTTTTTAAAAAAAGATAAAAAGGTGAAAAATAAAATTTATTTAAAATTAAAGTCCTTTCTTAAGTTTGATAACTTTGAGATTATTAATGTACCAAGATGTATAATTTAAGAATTTAGCAATTGCCCTTCCTTGTTATGGGTATATGTAGTTAAACTCTGGTCACTGTTCCCCTCCCAAGGAAACCAAAGGGCATCACAATAATTTGTCACCAAGGTAGGCTACAGTCAATGAAGAGGAATCTGTTGTAATAACAGCAGCTTGAGGAAGCAGAATTCAGGATGCAACCATCAGATAGGGCTAGAGACACCGGAGTTATTATTGACCTTTCAGGGACTTCTGCTGCCTTGTCAATTTTCCTCTGGCAAATTATCAGATATCATGGGCCAAAGCAAATTTTTCTGGGCCTTATAGACAAAAAGAATTATAAGACTTAATATAGGTTTTCACCCATATAACAATTTAGAAAATACATAAGACCTGAGCTACTTAAAGTTTCTTGAGAAAAGAATCAATGTTCAAACATAGGCAGAGTCTTCAATTTACTCAAAAGTTTCATATTACAAGGATAAATAGGAGTACTTTGTTAACTCTCTAAAATCATGGTCTAGCATGGCTAAAAGGTTGTATGTGGGGTAGTCATATTATTGGTTTTGTTTTAATTATTATTTCAGAGTAACTTATTGAATTTATAGAATTATGGAAAAAATAAAACCAAGACATTATTCACAATTTGTGATTTCGTTGATCCCAAAGGTCATACTTTGGTGTTTCTGACAAATACAGTTTAAAAAAACCTTTCTGGAACCTAGAAAAAAACATTCTGGGAAACTGGGGCAGCGTCTTTCTTCCATACTCTTCCCTCATCATAGAAGGACTTTTATACAAAAGCCCATTTTCCAGGCCTCAGTCTTTCTTTCTTAGCAACGGTTATCTAGCTCAGAGATATAGGCATATTGTCATATTGTTAAGGCCGATGGGAACATGCTTGTGTTTTGCTCATGGGTTTTATCCTTTTTCCCTCCTGCAGCTATTCACACATGCAGCAGCACTGAGTTCAAATGTGCATCTGGGCGCTGTATTCCTCAACGTTGGTATTGTGATCAAGAAGAAGATTGTTCTGATGGCTCTGACGAACCTGCCTCTTGTGGTAAGAGAGTAAACAGGCATGAACAGCATCATGATGCAGCTAGACAACCTCAATCTCTTCCCACCACTTTAGATACAAACGAGGGCCATGGCTACTGAATGCTCGCACTCCGAGCCCCAGCTGTCAACTGGGATGCTCAAACCACTCAGCAGACATTCACTAATGACCTTTTAGTGCGGGGGCACTGTGTGGGGAGCTTATCGGGATATGAAAGCAGCTCTTTGATGCTGATGAGATGAGATTATGTTGATGATGCACCGTATACCATACTAGCTCATGTAACTCAATTTTAGTTGACTTTCAATCAGAATTTCTGAATTTGGCTGAGTTCTGGCTCATAAAGCTGTCAGAGATTCAAAAGTGATTAGAATCATCACATAATGGGGAAAGGGCATATTAGGGGCACACATCCTCTTTCTGTTATGTCTCTGGGCCAGTTTATGAGGTGAGGTCCTACAGCCATCTCAGCTTCCCAAGAAGTCCCAGGTGTCCTCATGTTGTGTTTCTGAAAGCAGTTGTGCCCTGCTTGTATTTGGAGGCCGCTACTTACCTTTCCAAATTCAAATCCATAGTCATGAATATTTGTTTACACAATTGTAGAAATATAAAGATACAATCTCCTACATTGCTTTTTAAAAATCAGTAAATCAAATAGGAATTAGAAAACTATGGCTGTGGACCAGTTGCTTATCTTTATACATAAAACTTTATTAGAATACAGCTACATATTGTCTATGACTGCTTTCCTGCTACATTGGCAATATCTATCCAGTAGGTGCAACAGAGATCATATGGATGGCCTGGAAATCTAACATATGTACCGACTGGCTGTGAAAAAGTTTGATCACCTTTGTTACACAGTCTTCATACTCCCTTTTAATGACTATAATATTCCATTGAGTGGTTAAAGTATCATTGAGTTAACTGCCTCTATTATCAAACATTAGGGTTGTTTTATTTTATTTCACCATCATAAACATTGCTATAGTAATTACTGTCCTACATAAAATGTTTTATTTTGGTGATTTTTTTCTTAGGACCATGACTATAGTTTTATAGCTGAAGTCCAACTGTTTTCTATTCCTGTTTGCTCTCAGGTTTCAATTCTGTGGCTAATAGTTGGAGGGTGTTATTTGGAGCTCTTCACTAAGTTCTTTTCCCCAACACTGAAAGACAGCAAACAGCAGAGTTTTGAGGATCTGTAAGGAAATAATGAGTAACTATTAAGTGAGTAGAATAGTCTTAGAGATTGGTTCAAATATATGAATTATTGGTTCAAAGAAATGAAAAATTAATAGGAGTGTCTAAGATTCTCCGTGACAACCAAAGTCATAGTAATAGCAATTAGTACCAATTACCTGACACATTTAAGTAAAAATAAACACAGAACCTATCTATGAATACATTCTCATTGTAGCAATTAAGGTAATAATATGCAGAAGTATATTTTAAAGAAGTAGCAAGAGGTATACAAAAAAGTAAAATTCATATTTCTTCATGCTTTTCCAATCCCCTCACTCCTCAAAGATAATCACTGGGTATGAAGCCAGGCATGGTGGCTTCCGCCTGTAATCCCAGTACTTCGGGGGGCTGAGGCAAGAGGATTGCCTGAGCCCAGAGGTTCAAGACCAGCTTGGGCAACTTGGTGAGACCTTATCTCCACAATAAATACAAAAAATGTATCTGGGCATGGTTGGAAGGCTGAGGTGGAGAGATCACTCAAGCTCAGCAGGTAGAGGCTGTGGCAGCTGTGATTGCATCACTGCACTCCAATCTGAGCAACAGAGTGAGACTCTTACTCAAAAAAAGAGTTCTGTAACATTCAGAGTGTGAATTCTCCTTACTTTTATCTACATTTCCTATTTTAAAAAACACAAATAGGCCGGACTCGGTGGCTCAGCCTGTAATCCCAGTGCTTTTGGAGGTCGAGGTGAGTGGATTGCCTGAGCTCGCGGGTTGGAGACCAGCCTTGGAAGGCTGAGGTGGAAGGATCACTGGAGCCCAGCAGGTCGAGGCAGTGGTGGCCAAGAGTGTGCCACTACACTCCAGTCTGGGCGACAGAGTGAGACTTCAACTCAAAAAAAATAAAATAAATAAAAAATAAAATAAAAACACAAATAGAATTTTACTATACTTTTTTTTTAAGCTTAACACCATCTTGTCAACATGTTGGGACATACACATCTGCCTTATTCCTTTGCATTGCCAAATATTACTCTAAAATATGGATGGTCCATGTGTTTTTATCCTTTTCCTAACTGTGGCACATTTATTTTCATTATGAAAAATAATGCTGGAATGAACATCCTTTTAGATACATTTTTGTGTATACATAGAAAGCTTCTCATGGGCACCATTTCTAGAAATGGTGCTGCTGTATTGAAGGGGATATGTCTCTTCACAAAATCTGGATCAGTGTCCACACTTTACATGCCAGCTTCCGAAAGACCCTATTTCTCCTTAATTTAACAGCTACAATGAAAATTTATTTTGCCAGTTTGAGGGAGCCTTGCGTTTTAGGATCTATGGAAACTTGATTAGTCAAATGGAAACGTATGGGGTTAGGATTAAAGGATCAGAATCAGTGATGACTAATTTAAGGTAGAAGGATGAATTACTTTAATTCAGTAAATATTCATTGATTTGTTTGTTTTTTTGAGTCAGAGTCTCACTCTGTCACGCAGGCTGGAGTGCAGTAGCACGCTCATAGCTACTGAAGCCTCTGCCTTCTGGGTGCTGTCAATCCCTCCACCTCAGTCTTCCAAATAGTTGGAACTACAGATGTGTGCCACCACTCCTGGCTAATTCTTTAATTTATTGTAGAGATGAGGTCTCACCATGTTACCCAGGTTGATCTCGAACCCATGAACTCAGGCAGTCCTCTCGCCTCTGCCTCCCAAAGTGCTGGGATTACAGGCGTGAGCCACCACACTTGGCCTAATTCAGTAAATATTCATTAAACATCTATATTCTAGGTACTTTTGGGGTGCATCAGTGAATAAGTCACATTTTAATGAGGGAGACAGGCAACAAATTAGTCAATTGTATAGTATATTGAAAGGTGATGAGTACTATTGGAAAAAGGAAAGAAAGTATGGAAATGGATGGGGAGTGCTGGGGGGATGGTTTGCGCAAAACAAGATGGTTTTCAATAAAAAGAAACATGTGAAATAGTAGGTAATTTATATCATCTCTGTGGAAAAGACTGTTCTTTCTCTACCATACCTGGAAGGGAATACTGAATCTCATTCTAGTCACCACAGATTATTAGGGATTTGTACTGTCAGTCGACAACTTTTACCTCAAACCACTGGTCCCTGGTATGAGTCTTGTTGGAGGCCCTAACCTAGATCTATACAACTAGATAATGCTCTGGTTTTCTAGACAACCCATGCTATAGGCAGTTTCTCTCAAGATTCCTGGACTGCAAACCACTCTTTTCACCATGATTTTTAACTTTTCAGCACACCATGAACGAACATGTCCAGGTGATGAGTTCAAGTGTGATGGTGGGAGGTGCATCCCAAGAGAGTGGATCTGTGATGGGGATAATGACTGTGGGGATATGAGTGATGAGGATGAAAGGCACCAATGTGGTAAGTGAAGTCAATGAACGTCTCTTCAGAGTCACATTCCAGGGAAGCACAGTAGAGTCCGCTCTGTGTTTGGAGAGTCTGATTGCAGATTCCTCCTTAACTGAATGGACACTGATTGAATGTAACCTTTGTTTCTCCACCCTGGAATTGTTTGATGTCCTCTACTTACATGCTTTTAATGATGAAAATAACTTTAAGATTACTTTCTTTCTTTTGCATTTGGCTAATGGAAAAAATATCCTACATTTCTAGAGCAAACCAAGAGAATTTGGTTGGCCGCTCTATGCCTCCAGTTTCATCTATCATCTTAAAGCTCTTATGTTCAGAGATGTTATTCCTTTTCAGTAGGTTATGGAACACCATTTCCATTACCAATAGAGTATGGAATTCTTCGCTTATCTAATTTGTTTTAGAAGAATGTCTTTCCATGGTAGGACAGTACAGTCAACAGCTCCCTGATGTTTGGCCTTAGGGTACTGTTTTGTGTTGTGACTTTGGTGATGGTCCACAGCTCACGTATACGCCATCCATGGAGCTGGGTGGTTGACAGCTGCAAGTACATGGATTGTGGCTTATACTCTTCTCCCACCTCTTTTTACCAAGGCCCCTCTCCTTCTTTTATGTCTTACTCACCCACAATGAGACAGGCCAGAATACGACGAGGACCCCCCAAAATGGAATTTGTTTATAAAAAATTGTGTATTTCTTCTTACATGTTTCAACTTCAGTCACTTTCAAAGTACTCTACATTTGATACAATACACTTATTGAGACTCTTTCCACTGCTCAAAACAGCTTTTGAACTCATCAATTTTGATGCCTTTTAGTGCTTCTGCCATTTTTTGTTTCACCTCTTCCACGTAGGCAAAATGTTTCCCTTCGAGGACTTTTTCATCCGGGGAAACAAAGAAAAGTTGCTTAGGGTGAAATCAGGTAAATAGGGTGGGGGCGGCATGGGGGTCATGCCGTTTTTCGTCAAAAACTGATGAACATTCAGCACGGTGTGGGCAAGTGTGCTCATAAAACACCCATTATGAAATGTGTAAATGCTTTGAACGAATCTCTTTCAAAAAATTTACCGAAGCCAAATGTAACCTATCACAATAATGCTTGCTGGAACACTGATGCCGATGCCAATGACTTCCTAGAACACTTACCTAGTGGAGGAAGCCTGTACTACAAGATGCCTGCCTTCCAAAAAATAATTCCCATTTTTTGGGGTCTCCCCTCATACCTGTTATTTTATTCTTTGGGTATTAATGATTTTATGTCAGCATCTTTTCTCTTTTCTCATAGCATCATGGTTTCTGACAGCTGTTGTTGATATACACCTCGCCTATCCACCTTAATTCTGCTTGGGGTGGTAGCTATAATATAGCTGAAAAGAAAGCACTGAATTTGGAGGGAAAAGACCCAGATTTGAAGCCCTAGCTCTTTCTCCTTTTAGTTCTATGATTTTGTGCCAGTTTGACTTCATTTTGACTTCAGTTTTCTCATCTATAGCATTGGCATAAAAATCTCTGTCTCACATTGTACTTGTGTGATCACACTTTGTAAATTTAAAAGAAGTTATCAAAATATAAAGCATTTGGTATCTAATTAACAAACTGAGAGTGGTTTTCTGAAGTCCTAAGGGAACATATGTGATCTTATATTAACTTTATTAGAAACTAAATGAAGTTGTTTATTTTGTTGATTTCTCACTGTGAGAAAAAGTCAGGGTTCAAAGCAATTAAAATACTTTTGGAGGCATTTCTATTGTGATCTATTATTACCATAGCAATACGATTTGTCTCAGAATGCTAAGTAACAAAAATCAAGAGAGTTGGTTGCTACACTGATCTCTCGTATGGTTTCTGATTCTTGTTTGCTTTGGTTTTAGAGAGTTACACCTGCTCAAGTTCTCAGTTTGTCTGTGTAAATAACAGACCACCAGACAGGAGGTGCATTCCCCTAAATTGGGTCTGTGATGGCGATGTGGATTGCACTGATGGCTACGATGAGAATCAGAATTGCAGTAGGAGATCTTGCTCCGAAAATGAATTCACATGCAGTTACGGACAGTGTATCCCTCAAGCATTCAGGTGAGTTGACAACTTAAAAATTGCCCATCAAACCTCAAATCTTCATGGCAGAAGGGCTGACTTATGAATTAGGCAGGGGCCACAGTGTCGGGGGTCCATGATGCTTTTGGTGGCCTTTGAAAATGCTTGGATTCCTTTTTATTTTTTTGAGTTGGAGTCTCACTCTCTTGCCCAGACTGGAGTGCAGTGGCACACTCACGGCCACTGTAGCCTCCATCTGCAGGGTTCAGGCAATCCTTCTGCCTCAGCCTTCCAAGTAGCTGGAACTACAGGCATGCACCACCACGCCTGGCTAATGTTTTTATTTTATTGTAGAGATAAGGTCTCAGGCAAGTTGCCCAGGCTGGTCTCAAACCCCTGGGCTCAGACAATCCTCTCACCTCTGCCTCCCAAAGTGCTGGGATTACAGGCATGAGCCACCATGTCTAGCTTGGATTTCTTTTAAAAAGAAAAGAAAAAAAAAGTTTTTAGATTCAAGTATTTTGACATATAATGTTAATATATCTGGCTGTATACTGATGCAGCTGCATTAAAATAAAAACATAACTATCTATTAATAATATATTATTAAATATAATAATAATATATTGATACTTAAATATAATTTTAGATATTTTTATGGAGAATGGGGCCCAAGAAAGCAAAAATGTCTGGGGCTTGTGAAGTGCAGAATATGACCTTGCACTCTGAGCAAGGGAGATGAGTGCAGTGTGTTTGAGATGAAAAATATCTTTCTTGAAGCTAGTAACCATAGTTTTCTACCTGGAGTAGAATTGTGGGTATAAGAACTATTTTACTTTCCTCTCTCTACTCTAAGAAAAATAACAGTGTAAGCATGATGCTAGAGCTTGACTCTTAGGCTCAGGGTCAAGGAGACAATAGGGAGAGGCAGGTGAGCTGAACTGAGACACATGGCTCAATAAGGATGCAAACAGCGTGTCTGGAGGGCCAGGCTTTTTTTTTTTTTTTTTGAGTTGGAGTCTCACTCTTGTTGCCCAGGCTGAAGTGCTGTGGCACACTCACCGCCACTGCAGCCTCGATCTGTTGGGCTTAAGTGATCTTTCTGCCTCAACCTTCCAAGTACCTGGAACTACAGACACACGCCACGACACCCAGCTAGGGGCCAGATATTTTGATGCTCTTTTTCTGAAAGAAGTTGGGCATCTGGATTTTTTTTTTTTAGATTAAAGAATATAGTTTATTTAGAAAGTAAATTACAGAGAGAGAGAAAAAGGTGATTCACCTCTTTAAGGTAGGGGAGGGGGCCAAAGCTTAAAAAAACTTGGCCTGGCCAACGCTCAAAGAGCACATGACCAAACCATAGCTTAGTAAGGCAATGGCTGGCATCTGGATTTTAATATAAGATATTCTTATTTAATGCTTGAAATAATTTTTTTTAAGTCAGGGTCTTATTTTGTCACCCAGGCTAGAGTGCGGTGCCACACTCATGGCCACCTGCTGGGTTCAGATGATCCTTCCAAGTAGCTGGAACTATAGGTGTGTGTCACACCAGGCTAATTTTTTGAATTATTGTAGAAACGGGGTCTTCCATGTTGCCCAGGTTGGTCTCGAACCCATGGGCTCAGGCAATCCTCTCGCCTCTGCCTCCCAGAGTGGTGGGATTACAGGCGTGAGCCACTGCCCCTGGGCCAAATTTCTTAAATTCTTAAAACACTGTGTGGGCCAAATAGATTCAGCTCACAGCCCTGCCAGTTTGGGGAACGTTTCCTGCAGTGTTCTGTTGTTTGCTTTCTTTCCTTTTTCTCCAAATGGACTACTTCGGTTTATATGCCTCACTCTCTCACCACCCCCACTTAACAAATCTTTGAATATAGAGGGAAATAGAGAAGAATGATTTGTACGTTTCAATCCTGATGGACTAGCGGGATGGTAAGACCATTAACAAATGTAGGGGAGCCTAGGGAGAATTTTGCTCAAGGTAGAAAGTGAGTTTGATGTAGTAGGACTTCCTGAGGTAAAAGTATGGATGAGGCATTTAGATACATGGAACTGGGATTAAGACGAGATGTTGCATGTGCCAGGGACTCTTAAAGGCTACCCAGACATATTGAGAGCAACAGCAATTGCCAACTTACAGTCTGTTAGGGAGAGAGATGGGAAAGATATATGAAGCAGGCATGAGATAAAGCAGCAGAGCTACACACCATTGGCTGTAGGGCAGGCAGGCCATCAACAGGTGCTGAGGTACCACTGGAGTCCAGCATGGTGTGTGCTCACTGTGGTGGTCCCGAGGAAGGAAGGAACCCAGCAGGTGGCCATGAGTTAGTCATGTTCTTTGAAGGCCATAAGAGGAGCAGGGACTCAGCATTATGACCACAAAATAGCAGTGATTAAAGATGTGGGTAAATGTTATCTAGAAATTGTACTCTGTGACTCACCCTTGATGAGGCCCAAGCAGACACTGCTAAAAGGTGGTAGTTTGTGACAACCTGAAGACATTCAGGAGCTGGAGCAGTCACCTTTTGTAGTGAAGTTGCATTTGAATTTGATTTGTGTGTATTTAACTGATGCAGATGTGATCTGTAGATTTTTTTTTTTAACATTGAAAATGAATAATCCTTTATATTTTTTCCTACTTGCTTAAGAGTCCTGCTACGTTGCACTTCTGGGGGTTTTTTTTCCCCCTGAATTTGGGAAATAGTAAATACTGTTAGTCTTACATATAAATGTATCCTGAAAACCTAGGCACAGAATCCAGGGACTAGATCTGTAGCAGGTCTTAGTTTTGATTAGAGTTGTTACCTCATTACTCCCTTTCCGAGCTAAGCTCTGCTTCCATCATTACTTCATCATTATTATTACTTTTATTGCTTTCTTTCATCTTTTCTTTTTTCTTCCTCCCTCTCTCCTTTCTTTCTTTCCTTCCCTCCCTTTCCCCATGTCTCTCTTCCTTTTCCCTTTCTTTATTTTCCCCTGAGATTTCTGAATTGCTTTTGTCAAGGGCTACGTCAGAAGAGAAAAAAAATACTCTTTGTTTGGAAACCTGAGGCATATGATTTATAACGCCTTAAAATTCTGTGTGCCTAGAGCGGCCACTAGCCTCCACTAAGCGAGTTGTTAGCGTGCATCCCCTTCCTTGGCAGAATATGTGCTTCCATTTGGTACGTGGGGCAGGAGATCATTTTTCCTCTTGGCTCATGCTGCTGAAGAACGTGAACGATAAGTCGGAGTGGAGAGCAACTCACTGGAATACTGACCATGCAATTGTGCCTCAAAGCTTGGTGAATTTCCTTGCCTGACATTTTTCCTCTTGGGTTGGATTTAAACTAGAGAAAGAAAGGCCAGCCATCTCAAATCATTTGGAAATGAGTTAAATAGCTCTCAGGAGACCAAATGAGGCTGAGCTAGTTTACTTTGACCACCGCTGTCTTCAGTTACATGCACACAAGTTGGTGTAAATCTTGCTGACAATGCCCTGGGTTTATGCCCTAGGCTTATGGTTATTGCTTGTTAGCAGACTTGATTATAGGTCAGTTGTAAAACTGACCACATTCATCTTTGATGCTTTAGCATCTAGTAATGCTCTTTGTGCCAGTTCTTATGCCTTCTGTGTTAAATTGTTTTATGAATTGTCAATCATTGGCTTTGTCCATTCTTATCCACGATTCCTTTATGTGTATGATGAGTTTTGTTATAGTGAACAGAACCCCTTTTAGTCATCATAGGATCTTGGAATAACGTAGATAAGAAAGACTCATGTGGCTCACAGACTTTGAGGTCCCAAGATATGCCTTCTTCCTTTGTCAGTATTCCCTGCTAATCTACTAATTTGCCCCCCTTCCCGTCATCATAACAACTCACATCTCACAATAAGTCGCAAGAATATTACAGTGCAAGATGAAAGGAACGGGACTGCCAATTCAAATGTTATTCCAATGGGAAGACACTTGTTCTTGGAGAACACATCCAATAATCATACCATTTCTAATAGAGAGCACTCACCACATGAGTTTCCATTTGGGTATAGAGACTTCTATCATATGATTAACCAGAACGTTGCCAGTGTCCATCAGCTGTCTCTCAGATCTGATACACTCCAAAATTACGAAAGTTGTATTTAATTAATCAACTGGGGAAACATGAAAATAATTACGTGTATTTCTAATAGCTCTAGATTCACATTTCTAATGGCAGCAACCATCACCTGGAAAAACTGGGTGGAGTGTCAAATATTGGAGTTCTGTAGAGTTGGAGATGGGTGGGGTAGAGGAAGATTCTGGGAGAGAGGAGACTAGGGACACTGGTGATCTTGTTATTGAAATGATTGACCTGGCACCCAGGTAGATAGCCCCAAGTAGGTAATAGCTGAGGCTTGCTGTCAATCTCTCTAAGCATGGTACTGGGTCTCATGACATAGGTGTGACCGGCGCAACGACTGTGGTGACTACAGTGATGAGAGGGACTGCTCATATCCAACCTGCCAAGCAAATCAGTTTACCTGTGAGAATGGGCGCTGCATTAGTAAGGCCTTTGTCTGTGATGAGGATAATGACTGTGGAGATGGATCTGATGAGCTGGAACATCTGTGCCAGACTCCAGAAGCCACATGTGCCCCCAATCATTTCAAGTGTGACAATGAGCGCTGCATTGAGTTGGTGAAAGTCTGCAACCACCTAGATGACTGTTTCGACAACAGTGATGAGAAAGGCTGTGGTGAGTATAACAGAAGATTTGGGAAAAGGAGAAGGGGAAATTGAAGGTGGATTTGCAACCCTTTATGACTTATCAAGACTTTCAATCTGTACCCTAAGTAGAAAGTTATCAGAAAATTACTATTGCTTATATGACAAAAGACAAGGATTTCTTGGTATACAAGGTAGACATATAAATATTTTGGACTAATTCTTCAGTTAGGTAGTCATTAGAGAGTACAGAAGACGAACAAATATTCAGGCCATCATACAACATTATTGCTAAATACGGCACCTAAGAATGAAGGAAACAATGTTGATTCTTTTTGAATCCTTGGGTGACTTGTTGCCTGAAGCACCGCTCTGCTAGTACTCCTTAGTTTGTTCTTCATTTGCATCCTCAGGTGAGTAAATAGGAGTGTTTTAATCTCTATCTTACCCCAACCACCACAAGTGAAATGGTTGAGAATTTATAGTATAGGCAGTGTTTGCTTAGCATCACCTTGAACTCTATAATATTGGCAATCCATACTGTTGAGTGTGTTTATTCCTTGCAACCATTGTTTCATATATGATGTTGTTGTCTCTGTAATAAAAATTTGAATACTTTGAGGGAGAGATCATATCATCTATTTTGTTTTTATTCCACTGGATCATCATGAGTGCCCATTAAATACATTTGCTTAATTGACCAAGAAGAATATAATGTGGTTTCTGTCCTTCTGTGAAACGACATTAAAATCAAATGGTAGACAGAGAATCTTGGACAGAAAACACTATGGAAATTCAGAGAAGAGAATATCTACATATAATCATGTAAAAACTGATTATTTACTTAAATATAAGAATAACTCCCAAAAGTTTCTATCAAAGTTTCAAAAACCATTCAATAAATTTTTAAAAAGCATGTATTACTTACATTAGACATTTATATAAAATCATAGGGAATTTTCTTATATTTAGTCTTACTTCAGATATAATTTAAATTAATTTTGCTTTACCTAAACTATAGGAATGAAATCTTCAATTGTACATAATTCAAATTTAAATTTTTAGTTTGAAGAGGAACTGATCTCATTAGATCTCTCCCAAGCCTATTAAACATCTACTCTTATAACCAGAAGGAGTCCTAGTGATCTTTTATATCATTTTCTTTCTGCATTAGGACCATAACCCATAGATGTGAAATGAATTGCTTGGGGTCACACAGCTAGTTAGCAGAACTTGGCCCAATATATGGATCATAGATTTTGCAGTGCATGGATTATGTTTTGATCTATTGCTCCTTGATGAGTAGAGAATTCATAAGAACATGTTCTTCCCCTGTAGATAGTTTCTAGGTGAACTTAGTTACAGGACCAGGCAGAAGGTGCCTAGTATTGTGTTGCACCTAGTGTTGAGTGCATGCCATCTCGCGAGAGGCAAATGTGTGGACATCTTTGTAGCTCCATGTTCAGTGATGTTCATTGGAAGCTTGAGATTGGCCATGGTGTGAATAATCACACCACTGAAATGGAAGATGGTATGAATCAGAGCATTTTTTTCTCTCTCAGAGACCTGTTATACCAGCATACTGGCTAGGCTCCTTTCTTTTCTTTTTCCTCTCTCCTGTGTCAGTCATTGAATAAGCCACTGGTGAAGGATTAAGCAGGGGAGGAAGTTGAAAAATAGTGACTTCTGAATAGTCCGTGGCCTTTGAAATCTCTGTTGTCTGGCTTCTTTTAGTATAATCTATTAAGAATTGGCACTGCTCAGTAGAAATGTTGAGTTTGGTTAGCATTTGGTTGGTGAGTTGGTTGCTAATATTTTAGGGTCTTACAACTGCTTTTTACCTACAGGCATTAACGAATGCCGTGACCCTTCAATCAGTGGCTGCGATCACAACTGCACAGACACCTTAACCAGTTACTATTGTTCCTGCCGTTCTGGTTACAAGCTTATGTCTGACAAGCGGACTTGTGTTGATATTGATGAATGCACAGAGACGCCCTTTGTCTGTAGCCAGAAATGTGAGAATGAAATAGGCTCCTACATCTGTAAGTGTGACTCAGGCTACATCCGAGAACCTGATGGAAAGACATGTCGGCAGAATAGTAACATCGAACCCTACCTCATTTTTAGCAACCGTTACTATTTGAGAAATCTAACTGTAGATGGCTATTTTTACTCCCTCATTTTGCAAGGACTCAGCAATGTTGTGGCACTAGATTTTGACCGAGTAGAAAAGAGATTGTACTGGATTGATACAGAAAGGAAAGTCATTGAGAGAATGTTTCTGAATATTACAAACAGGGAGACAATCATGAACTACAGATTACCAGCTGCAGAAAGTTTGGCTGTGGACTGGGTTGCCAGGTAAGAAAACACTGAGCTTTTTTAAAAAGTTAAGCATTTTGAAAGTTGAGTTTTCCTCTTGATAAGAAATTAATCTTTTCAATCTATGTCGATACATTTAATGCTTTGCCTGTTTTTTCCTGCTTTGTATGTAATGCTCAAATGATATACTACAGAACCTAAGATCTACTTATTTTAGGAATTTATGATATCATTTGTATGGAGGGGGTATCACAAGGGAGAAATGAGTTTTATTATTGCTGTCCATTCAGTTAACTGGTGATGATGTTAAGGGATCATTCATGCATTCATGGGTGCATTCAGTCATTTAAAAATGTTTCCTGAGTGCCTCCCAGATGTCAGGTGTGATGATAAGCACCAGGGATCTCTAGGTGAACAGGGGAGAAAGAAAGAATGGCAAACAGAGACTTGTTTTGAGATAGTCCTTCTAGAAACTGGGGGTCTTTGAGGTAGACCAGTGTCATTTTAACTAAAACTTTTCCAGATCAACCGTACTTCTGAACATTTCTATTGACTTTGAAATCTCTCAGAGACTTGGCAGCATAAACTAGCTGACTTTGTGGTTAATAGACATGAGGCTGCAGGCACTTTTGTTTTAAATATTCTTGTTGCAGTTAGCAACTCTCCCCACATTCTCCTATTTGACCATCATAAGTGTAGAGACCCTAAAATGGGGACATGGGAAGAGTTTTCTCCCTTCTAGCTGGCTTGACATAGGTGGTGAATGCTTGCTGGATAATGAATGAAACATTGACTGAATGTATGTTTTATATACACTCCACTATGTGTCAAAAGTTGTAGTGATTAATGATTTCCAGGAACAGGATGAAACATGGTACTGCTTTTGTCCCCATCCTTTGCTCCAGTGTATGGAAAAATAATATTTTAACTTTAAAAAGTTATTGTTATTTAGCTCTCTTTCTTAAAAGCTGACTGAATGCGATTTCAGCTACTTTCCTCTCCACCTAGGCATGTCCTTGACCAGAGGAGAGAATTGCAAATTTATACAAAGAAGATGGGCAAGAAAGTCTGGGTTGAGGGTAGGACAAAATAACCCATGTCTGAAAAAGTTCAGGAAGGAGCACAGCGAGACTCAATGTTTCTTAAGATACAAACGAAGAATAGAACCTGGTTACATTTATTAGTAGGGAATATTTCTAAGATACTAGCTTGAAATTAGAAAAAAAATTTTCTCCTATATTAGTAACGATTTCTGCTGCCGACACAAGGGTATTTGTTTTCCAGAACCTTAACTTGATAATTTTTAAAAGCATGATTATGCCCATTGGTAGATAGTTCTGGCTCTCGATCATCTTGATTTTTCCAGTAGCAGAGTTGGAACGTCTTCTCCTTCTTCTCTTGAAAATAATCTGTTCACAGAACCAATCTTTTGACTGGGAGATGAAGAGAAATTAGTGGGAAAGTAGTAATCCAACAGAATAGCCTACCCTATGGTGTAGCCAGTCTACTAGGACTTGAGTTACTGCTCTGCCACTTGCTCATTATACAACCTCCCAGCCTCAGCAGCTTCATCAGGAAAACAGAAATAGTGACAGCAACTACTTCTAGGGTTGTTGTGATCTTAAACAATGCAATTTTTAAAAAGTCCTTTGTCTGGGTCTTGACATTTAGTAAATGTTCAATAAATAACTACTATTATTGTTGCCATTCTTAGCCTCTACAATGATAGAATTCAAGATTGTGGCTATTTCACTTACCAGGATTTACCCCAGTGAATTAACTGGCAATACCTGTACATTTATGCATGCTCATGCTTTCTTCCTCAAGCCTAGAAGGATACTACTTCCCTACAGTTAAATATTCAGACTTCCAGCATGGCTGGATCAGGGTTTGTCTTTTACAAAGAAGCATTCAATCCATTTGGAAGGGAAATAGTTCTTCCAGTTGGAATTGATCATCAGATTCTAAATGACTCTCTAGTTTTAGGGGCATTAAACTCTTTGGAAGGTTCTGGATACTTTAAGATTCTGGTGAAAACCATAAACCCCTTGCTGGATAACAGCACTTGCACATTTATACCCTCAACATTTTATATCAGTTTTAGAGGCATCCCTCAAAGCCCAGGTAAAGACCTCAGGATAAGAATACTTGCCATATAGAAAATACATAGATCTTACTGAATAGCAATATATTTAGAATGAAATATCCTTAAGGTAGGAGTTTCTAGTACATTTCTAAAGTATGTCAGGGTAAGAAACTCATTTTGACACCTAGTCTGATAGGACCAGGAATGGGTTGAATTTCTCTTTCTCTTAAGGATATCATAATTCAGAGTTCCTTTTTGCAGTTTCAATGACACACTTAGACAAATCTGTTTCCTCAACTCTATCATTTAAATTGTAATTCATGAAACTCACTTCTGCTTCCCTGTTCCTCTAAGCCTTTGTACTGTCTGGGAAGGATGCCTTGTGCAGCTTGAAGAAAGTAAAAACAGACTTCTGGTATGAGGTGTAGCACCAGAATTTCCTACATGACACCACCTTAACGTGGGAATTGTAGCATATACTCTTGCATCTTCTGCTGCCTGATGGCAGGAAGGCCAACTTCCTGTTTCCCCCTACCCTTATTTGCTTGGGGAGAGGTGCCTTCTAACAACTATCTGTGTGATTCTCGGGTAGCTTTGGTAGGAAATTGGGTGGTTAAATATGTACCATTTCACAAAGTGACTGTGTTGATAACTCCTGGCTGTCCATTTTAGAAAACTCTACTGGTTGGATGCCCATCTGGATGGACTTTTTGTCTCTGACCTCAATGGTGGATACCGCCGTACTCTGGCCATGAACTGCGTGGATGCCAACAACACCTTCTGCTTTGATAATCCCAGAGGAATTGTCCTTCACCCTCAATATGGGTATTGTCTCCTTTTACTTTTGAACTTTTCTTTCATGCCCTTATTTTAACTCTGTTTTCAAAAAGGCTGTTCATGTGCTATCTCAAGGCCAGTGTCTTGCTGGGGTTTGTCTTCTGTTTTTCTTACCTGGCATGGCTTCTTCAAAGATATTCACCAATATTCTGGCTTTGTTGTTGTTGTTGTTTTTGTCAAAAGTACACACATATTTTGGCTACATGCAAAGAAAACAAAAAACAAACATAATGGACTTTCCATGTCAAAGCCACTGAAATCCACAGTTCATCATGTTCATTCTTGAGCACTGTCTTCTGTTTTCTCTTTTAGATTATTTTCCATGACTTCTCTTTTCTTTCTGAGAAGCTCTGTAGAATGTAAATTCCATTTCTCTAAGTGAAAAGGGTATGACTTTTGGCTATTGTCTTCTTTTGGCATCAAGGATTGACCCTCTGTATTTGCTTCAACAGGTATGTCTATTGGGCAGACTGGGCTCACCGCGCCTACATTGCGAGAGTAGGCATGGATGGAACCAATAAGTCTCTGATTATCTCTACCAAGTTAGAGTGGCCCAATGGCATCACCATCGATTACACCAATGATCGACTGTACTGGGCAGATGCCCACCTGGGCTATATCGAGTACGTACATAGAAAAGAATAAAACAGCTGGGAAACTCTTTATTCCAAACACTGGGGCTTGAGTTTTTCTAGACTATTAGCCACATGCATCTTTGAACTGGCTTGTATATTGGAAGTCAGTCTTGGGCCACTTCTAACTGAAACTGCTGGGCTCTATGGTGTGGTGGAGGAGAAAGAGGGTGAACTTTAAGGTCACACAGATCAGGACATATGACCTGGTGCTTTCAGTTATTGTTTTTTCATCTAGGAAAAGGTGCTAATAATCTCTCCTCTATAGTAGTCAGCTTAATTCACAACTCATCGTAATTTTCTTATCTCTTTACTTTGTTTTTTCCTCTCAAATATATGATTTACAGATTTTAGTAATGAGAAAAGGAAAAGAGCATGTTGGGAAGATTTTCCCTAAAATAGTTTGGTGCATTTATGGTTAAATACAATGAAGTGTTTTGTGTAGCAGTAGAACCTGTTAACATTAATTCAGTATGATGATGAATTTAAATCTTTCCAGTATTAGAATTTTTAAAAAGTACATTCAATGTAGTGTTTAGTGAAAAATACTCATTGTAAAAATGGTAACACACACTACTAGTTGACCAGTACATGTTTATTTTGGGGCATTGCTATTTATGGCCTAATTGTTCCATAGTAATGTCTTCTGGGTAAGCACTTAATGAATAATTATCTGGGCACAGCCTGTTGCAATTAAAAAACGTAGAAGTGCCATTAATTCAGTAGAGCTATTTCAAAGACTTTTAGAAATTATCATTCTGTTACATTTATTTTGCTGCCAAAGTCATTGTAGAAATTTTGAAGTTCTTTAACCTCATACTCTCTTGGGCTATGCCATGGAGAAAGAAGGAATACCTGACACACATGCTAGTGCCTTTTCTTCCTATGATCATAGCAGACATAGTTGAACAATCCCAGAGCTCTCTTTTGTTGAATAAATTCATTTGATATACTAAGATAGCCCTTAGCATTCTCATTACAGAATTTACCATAGCAGATACTAACTCACTCTTGGTCAGGTTCAGTAGAACATTACTTCTTGCTTATTTGTACCATTTTAATGTGATATACTGATGGTGACCACCCTTGGCCCTTTCCACAGCATGTGCATTTTCTCTTGAAAGGAACATCAAAGAGCTGAGTTATCTTCCCATGCAGTCTCATACTGAATTAATAGAAGCATCAAGGTGTTCAAAGAAAGTTCAGCAACTTTCTTATAGGACTTTTGCTGTCCTTCGGGTCTTGTAGATTATTATTCTTGGTCTTGAAAGCTTAGTAAGTTTAACTGAAATGAACAGTGTACATATAGACAGCGAGGTCAACAAAGGAATTTTCTAGCTGCATAATACTCTGTTCACTTTTTGATAAAATCAGACATAGATTACTTGCATAGATCTGAAATTCAGGCAGTAGGTTTCAGTCTAAAAGTCAAATTATAATATCAAGCACTGTGATCTGAGAATGAATGAATGATTACCTCTTGGAGGGTAGCAATGTCTGTATTCAGAAATATATTTCATAGACTACATGAAGTAATACATTTTTATAGAGCATCCAATTGATTCCTTGTGCATCTTCAGATACAGTTACATATCATTAGAGCTGTACTCAAAAAAGTCTCATATAGGTGGTTGTGGTCCTTACACAGAGATCACACAAGAACTGAGAGAGAAGGTCTCAGGACTACTTTCTGATCTATGAATTTTATAAAACACATGATGACTAAGTTCTGGTCATTTACCTGCATTCTTGTCAATAGAGGCTAATAAGTAGTTCTTCAAGTTTTCCAATGGCTTCTATAAATTTCCATAAATTCCGATCTTTTGGGAAATATTTTTAATATCACATGGCTAGCATCATCAAGTTTTTTAGTTGCTAGTTCATTCTACCTCCTGTCTGAGTTTTAGGATCTGCTGCAATATTTTTAAATATTAAAATATCACTATTTTAGAGATGATTTTTTATATAGACTCATAGTAATGAATGAGACATCGGAACTAAGAGGACTTAGAAATATGTCTGTGGATGCTCTGCAACATCTTGAAATCAGAGAACTGTCTCAGGAGGTTTATTCATCTGGAAAAGTGTTCCTTAATAGTGCCAATGGCATGATTAATAATAAACATGCTGCTGGTGTTTGTGAAGTTAGCCCTGCAGGGTTGTAAATTGTATTTCCCTCAGGTTATACTGAGAACCTATCTCCTAGAATAACTTTTCCTGAGAAATGCCCATGAGAAGGCAGAATTCCAGCAGTATATTGTTATCCTCTGATTTCTTCTGATGATTTAGGAAACAAGAATGGTGTTCACCCCAGGATATCAAAAGGGCACTTAGTGGAGAATATTAGCATAAGAGGTCATAGCCTGCAGCTGGGCTGGGTGGCTCAGCCTGTAATCCCGTGCCTTTGGGAGGCTGAGGTGAGTGGATTGCCTGAGCCCACGGGCGACAGAATGAGACTCCAACTCAGAAAAAAAAAAAAGAAAAAAAGAGGTCATAGCCTGCAATAGATATACCAGTTGCATCTGCAGGAAAGTAGCTGTGGTTAGGAATTAGCGATTGTTTAAACTCCTGAGACTATTCCTATTTTTAAGCATTGCTTTTTCAATTTTTACATCTTTTCTAGGGGGAGGATCTGAACTTCAGTTATCTCTAGGAGGTAGAATTTTATTAATTAATGTGCTAATTCATTTGTCCTAAAAGACATTAGAGGAGAGGGGTGACCTTCTTCATCGAGTGACCGTTTCTTCCTACTGCTGCAGGTTCTCTGATTTGGAGGGCCGCCATCGACACACCGTGTATGATGGGACATTGCCTCACCCATTTGCTATTACCGTTTTTGAAGACACTATTTATTGGACAGATTGGAATACAAAGTCAGTGGAAAAGGGAAACAAATATGATGGATCAAATAGGATGACACTGGTGAACACAACGCATAGACCATTTGACATCCATGTGTACCATCCATATAGGCAGCCATTTGGTGAGTAGGTGATCAAGGAATTTGGCACAGTTGCCTTAGGTTATGTGCATTCCTCTCTCTTTAAGCATGAATATTCTGATTCATAAAGGGTTTGTTGTTACTTGTTAGAGTTTTCTCCAAAATATATGCTGAGAGTTGGGAGGATGCAAATATCTTTAGAGTTTATTCTCCTTCCCCTAAGAAAAACTACTTAGAACTCTTCTTTTTCTTAAAACTTACCCTATTTTTAAAGATTGATCTGGTTTTTGTTTTTTGTAATATTTAATGGTTGTTATGTTGCCATATTTACTTTATCTGGTTTGGTGGGAAGGTTGAAGTATTTTGAAGTGAGTTAAAAATATTGTAGCATTTCAGCATTTGTGAAAATAAAAGCGTTTCCTTATAAAATCATAATGCAATTATGAGACCTAAGAAATTAACCATTATAAATACAAAGACCATTCTACTTATTTTTTAAAATAAGTGTTTAAAAAATTACAATCATTGTAAAGCATTAAATGTCTATTTGTATATGACATTGTACTGTGTATCAAATAGATGTTACTCTAATCTTCTAAAAGATATTAATGTCAAGAGCAATTAAAGCCATTTTGTGATTTAGAGATAATCTAGTAAAGGTCTGGAGTATATTTTGGGGATAGACTGGTATTTGTGGGTCTGCTTTGTTGCAATACCTTGCTAAAACACATGATAAACTTGGAAGTAAGGAGAAGTGATAATTAGCAAAATAAAGATATTCAGCATTTCTTTCCGGAAATTAATACCCTTTATATTATCTTATGTGAAGTTCAAGTTAATCTTCACCTCCAAATAGTGACCCAGAAAATTAGTAAAGACACCGCTCAATATATCCATTCATATTAATCTTGGCCAAACATCTGTTACCTATATCCTTAGAATGAAGGGATGAATATAGCATCTGCTAGAAATTAAGTTAGATTCTGGGCATATGAATATAAGCTGAGTTTGCTGCCTGTTCTCTCAGGACTTTGAGAAACACATTTTTTTCTCGTCAGAGATACCAGTGAGTATGCCTCAATTCTGGTAGCACATAAATGAATTTCCCAAAGCACAGAATTGTTACTTATATAACACCATCATCTGTCTTCTTTATGAACTTTTGGAAAAAGTATAAAGCTAGGATAGTTATTTTTCTTCCTCATTAAGAGGTGGTGAGTTTGATGTCAAGGTAGATAATCAGTTAATCTTTCCTTGATATACCCTTTAAGCGAATGAACATATATTTTCTTCCTCTAGTGACCAATCCCTGTGGTACCAACAATGGTGGCTGCTCTCATCTCTGCCTCATCCGATCAGGAGGAAAAGGGTTCACCTGCGAGTGTCCTGATAACTTCCACACCCTTCAGATGAGTGGCAGCACATATTGCCTACCTATGTGTTCCAGCACCCAGTTCTTATGTGCTAACAATGAAAAGTAAGGCTCTCTTTCCCCTCTCCCCAGTGCCTCTCTAGCCCTCAGGTAGACATTGAACTTCCAGGATCCAGGGGATGGTAGTTTTCTAATGAACCAGCATTTTTGGTTAACTAATTTGGTTCATGTGAAACACAGTCCTCAATTCAAATAATTCTTTACACGAATAAAAGGAATTTGTTAATCAAACTGTTATGCTTATGTATGCAAGCTTTTATAGACAGGAAGCAAATCATGTATTTCTTATGTCTAATATTTTGTCCTGAATGTCAGGGCTAGAGTGTATATGAGTATGTACTGAAAAAATGGTGCTCAGGAGTGATAGAATTTTACTATCTTTTCCACATTTATACTAGCCTAGCTCTTTATTTGCCTATGCCAGAGGATCCAGGGTTATACATTCAAATTCACTTTTGATCATTGTGCTGACTGATAAGGCCACTGATGATTAGGAGAGCTGAGTCAAAGAGTGGGGTGGAGAGAGACATTGATGCAAGTCTTAGCAATGGTAGATTATTTTGATTAAATATGATATCTGAGATTAAGAATCTAGCATACACCTATTATAACATAGGTACTCAACAGTTTTTAGTGTCCTCCGCTTCTCAACCAATATCCAAGTGTGCTTTATCTCACCCTGGCAGACAATTACAAACAAACACTTTTTCTAGAACCATAGCTTAAAACACCTGCTCCATTGTTTGTTGTAGAAGGAAGTTCATCATCAGACCCGAAGCATATTTTCAGTGTGTATTTGGGTTATAGCAAAACTTTTTATCTTATCAAGTTATGTTTTCTCTGAAAATACACCATAGTAATGGAGATTTCATTGATCTTCTTTTAGTGCTATGAGAAAACTCATGCGTGTCATTACTTGGAATTTAGTGTTGACTTCTCTTCAGGTAGCTGTTGTCCCTGGTGTTTTGCTAGAGAAGTGCTGTATTTTCTCTGTGCAGGTGTATTCCTATCTGGTGGAAATGTGATGGACAGAGAGACTGCTCGGATGGCTCTGATGAACTGGCCCTCTGCCCGCACCGTTATTGCCATCTAGGACAGTTCCAGTGCAAAGATGGCAACTGCACCAGCCCACAGGGCTTATGCAATGCTCGCCAAGATTGCCCTGATGGGTCTGATGAAGACCATCTTCTTTGTGGTTTGTTGAATTGCTTTATGCCTCTTTTGTGCACTTCTGTCTTGATTATGTACAATCATGATTCTGTGGGAATTTTCAGAATATCAAAAACCAGCTCAAAGACCTTGGAGAAACTCATTTATATATATGAGTCGGGGTCTTACTCTGTCACCAAGGCTGGAGTGCTGTGGCTTGATCACAGCTCACTGCAGTCGACCTCCTGGGTTTAAGCAATCCTTCCACCTCAGCCTCCTAAGTAGCTGGGACTACAGGCATTTGCCACCATGCCTGAATAATTTTTAAAAATTGTTTTGTCAAGATGAGGTCTCAAAATGCTGCCTAGGCTGGTCTTGAACTCCTGGACCCAAGCAGTCCTCTCACCTCAGCCTCCCAAGTAGCTGGTTTTACAGGCGCACTCCACCATACCTGGATAATTTTTAAATTTGTTATAAAGACAGGATCTCACTATGTTGCCCAGGCTGGTCTTCTGAGCTCAAGCAATCCTCCCTCTTGGTTTCCCAAAGTGATGGGATTACAGGTGTGAGCCACCATGCCCAACCACCACTCTTTATTTTATAATTAAAAAAAAAAACTTAAGGTCTTTACAAGGCAAATGGTTTGAAGTAGATTATCAGTTGCCTAAGTTGGTTCTTTGCCATGCGATAGGCATTGAATCCTCCTTGACAGCTAACACTGAGAATTAAATGAGAGTTTCCCACCCCCATTTTTAACAGGGATTCTCAGTTGTAATATTTATTTAGGTTTCCATTTTAAAAGGAAAAAAAAAACCCCCACCTTCGAACTAAAAGCAACACATCAACAACAGCAACAAACACAGGAAACAGGGACAAGAGAACAGGCCAGGGGATTCAGTCCTTATCCTTTAATTCTACATGCAAGAAAAAGATATTTAAGAATTTGGGAGATTGTATAGTCAAAGGAATAACCACCCATGTAGTAGTACTCGTTGATAAGTGCATTAGGACATAAGTCCTCTAAAAAGATGTTGTGATCAAGTTTTCCAGGCCTCATAAGTGTAAATTACGAGCTTCTATTCTTGACAACTTCCAAGCTGTTAACCAAATGCCCCTGCTTGCAGAGAATCACAAGTGTGAGTCCAATGAATGGCAGTGTGCCAACAAGCGTTGCATCCCAGAATCCTGGCAGTGTGACACAGTGAATGACTGCGAAGATAACTCTGATGAAGACAGTGCCCACTGTGCCAGCAGGACCTGCCGGCCCGGCCAGTTTAGGTGTGCCAATGGCCGCTGCATTCCTCAGTCCTGGAAATGTGACGTAGATAATGATTGTGGAGACTACTCAGATGAACCCGTTGAAGAATGCAGTAAGTTCCTGTGGGAGGGACAGGCATGACAAGAGCAGGGAAACACAGAGGACCCCATGTGGATTGAGATAGGACATGGAGCCCTGGCTTTCAGCCCTAAGGGATGATCCCTCTTGGGGCTTCCTGTACACTCTGTCACTACAAGACAAAATATAGCTTGCAGGTGGAACCAGACTCTGAAGTGGCTAATACCTCCTCTTGATACATGGAATGTTCTGCTGTCTAGAATGTGATACCAAGAACCTACATTTTATATGGCTAGTGCTTCCTCACTTGAGCCTCAGGGAAACAGTGTGAGGTAGGGAAGGTAGGTGTTAACCTATTCCCGTTTTACACATGAGGAAACTGAAGCTTGTGTTCAGTGGATGGTCACATTTCTACTTGGGAGCAGAACTAACACTTCAATTGAGGTTTTTAACTTCCAACCCAGTTCTTTCTCGCCCTACAAAGTTACTCTACAAAACAAATGAGTGATATTAAGATAGTGAGAAAACTTAGGACTGTATTTTTCTGTTTGTGGTAAACAGATCACATTCAAAACAGACATACATTGCCAGAGTCAATCTGGTTAGCACTATGGTAAAGAATAGTTACTCATTAGCATCACATCCTCAATATGACAATGGAAAGGTGCCTTCTGGCACCTTCATTCCGACGTTGCCTGCCTCCTCTTCTCTTTTCAGTGAGCTCTGCTCATCGCTGTGACAACATTACAGAATTCAGCTGCAAGACGAATTACCGCTGCATCCCCAAGTGGGCCGTGTGCAATGGTGCCAATGACTGCAGGGACAACAGTGATGAGCAAGGCTGTGGTAGGAGGGGCTGCAGGGCATCGGCGAAGGGGCAAGAAAACTTAAATGTGAAGTACGATGATTAGATGAGAGATGAGAGTGGATTTCCCATGTCCTCTTTTCTTTGTTTACCTCTGTTAAAAAAAAGAAAAGAAAGAAAAGCATTTATTAATTCTTCTAATAACATGATATATTTTTGTAGTAGTTTGCATGGTTGGGGGGGGATTTTATTTATATCATCTTAGATGACATCTCGTCCCAAAGGGTGCTATAGTTGAGGAAGATATTATGAAGATGTTAGAACTTGTGTTCTTTCTTCCAAATGTTGGATCCTTATTCATACTTGACAAGTTTAAATCGTTTGCCCAGTCTTATAGATTTACTGAAATTTGTGGAAACGGGTTAGAGAAAAGACTTGTTATCGTTTTCTAAAGAGGATGTTTCCAAATCAGAATATTTCTTATTTTGGGATTTTCATATTCTGAATGTTTTTCTGACTTTCCACATCATCTATTGGACATATGTAGTCACTCTGGCAACATGGAAGGAACTTACGGACATAAGGCCAAATGAATTCATGGAATTTGTCAAGATTAGGCTTATATTCTAACTTGAAACCAAAGTGTCTATGAGTGTGCGTCGGGTTTAGTTGGAAGAAAGGTAAGGAAGATACTGGGTCATTTTAAGAACACTGAGTCTAATTGACTGAAGACAATGTGATAGAAAAGTTCTACTTGTTATGGCATCATTTTAGCCACTCTTCCCAGGTTTTTGTTGCAAATTACAAACCCAGATACCAGTTCATTTTTTGAACAGTTTCTACAAAAGGGAATGGATCTCGTTTCAAACAATAGGTAGATTCAGTTTAGCTAAAAAAGAAGGATACTGACAATGAATGTTGCTGGCATTCTTTGGGAGATTCAAGAATGTGGTAACATAATTCTCAGACTGTCTCACAAGTACTGCTTTGAACACTGGTGTGTGATATATTTACAATGATTATCCTTTGCAGAGGAGATGACATGTAATCCTCTGGGGGATTTCCGCTGTAAAAATCACCACTGCATCCCTCTTCGCTGGAGATGTGATGGGCAAAATGACTGTGGAGATAACTCAGATGAGGAAAACTGTGGTGAGTGTTCCAGTTCTGTGATCCTTACGTACCACCAAAGTGAAATTTACTCTTTGTTCATAATTCAACTTAGGTCTATGCTGTTCATCCTCAGTAGGATAGCTCCTTGAATCATTTCTTTCTGCTAGTTGATGTTAAACATTTCTACTTTCTCTTCCAAAAGTTTTGAGAGGAGGATATGTACTAAAGTATATCTTTGTCTGTTGAATTTATTTACACCCAACTTTCTTTCCAAAAAGAACTTGAGGTGACATGATGAAGGACAAAAAGAACAAGATAAATAGAATAGAAATAGAAAATCAGGACCAGGCAAAATACAGGAGGGAAATATGCTAACCCCAAAGACCCTGCTTCCCCCAAAATGACCTTAGCCGAGGAGGGAGAACTCCTATTTGGATTGTTATCGTTCCTGGAATAGCTGACTATTTTAGGAGAGCTAATGGTTAAATAATAGGACAGGTTTTAGTCCTCTTCCAATTGAAGGTACTGACTACAAGGCATTGGACAGAGAGGTTGAGGGAAGGAAGCCAAAGTTCTGGATCACACCAGACTAGATAGTCAGCCCTGAATAACTGTGTGTGTTTTAAAAACAAGCTTTATGAAGCCCTGTCCTGAGCATATTCATTGACTCATGATGCGTGTCAATTTCCAATTGATGAATATAAAATATATGCTAATTTTAGTCCCCTTTTCAAAGTAAGAGGTGATCACCATTTGTCATAGGCAATTGAGAGACTCAGAATGTTGATTATATCTATAAATATCAATCAGGCAAACACTTCTTACACAAAAGAGTAATCCAATTAGCATTTTATTTTTACGATAACGGGTTCATGTTGAATCCTATAAGAAGTTATCTAGAGTTTCATGAAATAAAATATTGTCTTAAAATCAAATAAAGCCAGGCATGATGGTACATGCCTGTAGTCTCAGTTACTTGGGAGGCTGAGATGGAACGATTGCTTGAGTACAGGAGTTCAAAGCCAGCCTAGGCAATATAGTGAAACTCCATCTCTTAAAAAAAATTAAATCACCTTTGGAAAAAACACTGAATAAAGGCCATTCTTTACAGACTAAAAATTGAGGTGGAAGTTCTAGTTTTGGAGGATGAATGGTCTGCCAAACACACCTCTAGGGCTTGGGTCACAGGCAAACACTGGACACTGAGGATGTTTTGGCCAGCCCACGAGCTGTCTCCTGTGTGTGATTCCTGGTGCATACTCATAGCCAGATGCCTTTCCTTTCCAGTTCCCCGGGAGTGTTCAGAGAGCGAGTTTCGATGTGCCAATCAGCAATGCATTCCCTCCCGATGGATCTGTGACCATTACAACGACTGTGGAGACAACTCAGATGAGCGGGACTGCGGTAACTGTCAAGAGTTTACAATAGAATCTTGTCCCATGAAGTAGGGGCTTCAAATTAATGTGCATAAGGTTTTTTAGAATAATGTGATTTTTGTATAATTTCTGCAACATGTGAAACTCAGCATAACATAGTCTCTTCTGCTCTGTATTTTCTATGCTTTATTCTTAACTTGTAGCAGTCTAGATCAATCATAATAGGGGGAAATAGCAGGGAATTTTTAAAAATTTAGTCTTAATTTAAATATTTTTAAAAATAACAGTCTTTAATCTACATTGGCTTTGAAAACAAATAGAGACATTGGTCTTCCTACTATTCCACAGAAAGTTACCTTACAGAATGTACTACTGTGGCTTCCCTGTATAAGGGTCAGAGCACTGGGCTAGAAATCCTAAACCACAAGTAATTTTTATAGCTCGTTAATGATTAAGTTTTGGTTCTAAAGAAAACCAGGAAATGTTAAAAACTGGAGAATTCTTAAGCATTGGGGAGAGAGGTACTTCCATCTCCATGTGTTGCATGGGGAAAGTGTGAGTTTGGATAGTTTACTAATTTGCCAACCACATGTTGTGGGTTTTCTGTGAGCTAGGTGCAGAGGATGGATAGGAATGTATTGGAGTACTCAGTATACTCCAGGTACCTAATACCTGTCTGAAAATGACAGGGCCTTCTGGGAATAACAGTCTTTTCTCTTCAGAGATGAGGACCTGCCATCCTGAATATTTTCAGTGTACGAGTGGACACTGCGTGCCCAACGAATTGAAATGTGATGGAACTGCTGACTGTTCGGATGCTTCTGATGAAGCCACTTGTCGTAAGTCCTTAGACACTGGTAGCACTGCCAAGCACACCTCTAGGACTTGGGACATAGGTGGATATTGGGCACCGAGGACACTTTGGCCAGCCCACAAGCTGTCTCCTGTGTGTGATTCCTGGTACACACTCATAGTCAGATGTTCTTCCTTTCCAGTTCCTCAGGAGTATGAATACAGTTTTTTTTTGGAGTTGGAGTCTCACTCTGTCGCCCAGACTGGAGTGCAGTGGCCGCTCCCAGCCACCGCAGCCTCAACCTGCTGGGCTCTGGCGATCCTTCCGCCTCAGCCTTCCAAATAGCCGGAACTACAGGCGCATGCTACCACGCCCAGCTAGTTTTTGATTTGTTTTTTGATTTATTGTAGAGATGAGTTCTCACCAAGCTGCCCAGGCAGGTCACGAACCCACTGGCTCAGGCAATCCACTCACCTCGGCCTCCCAAAGTGCTGGGATTACAGGCTGAGTCACTGAGCCCGACCGAATACAGTTTTTTAGACACCAGTCATTTACCACTTCTTAGCTTGAAAGGCCATAGTAGTTTAATGATCAGCATCCGTTGATAACTATCAGTTCACCTGTGGTCTTAGTCATTGTATTTTTATATTCACAATGGTCATTCAAATGTGTTTCCTTAACAGTATTTTGAGTAGAAAATGAGTTAAGTAGTTTGTACTTACAAAGTATTCATATATTATCAGCTACCATACAAAACATTAAGTGAATAAAAAACATTTTAGGTAAAAAATAAATAAGTAAAAGAATATTTGAGCAATGAATAAACCAGTATGAAGACCTTGGGTTAGGTATTAGAACATACTGAATTTACAGCATTTTTTGAATTGCATGATGGCGTATATAAAATATTAACAATATAAAACCAATATGATCATTGAAATTTTAGACCTTAAGAACCACTTGAATATGAACTGTTGATAATTATCCATGGTGGTTATTGTGGAGGATGTGGTTGCCACATCTTAAAACCGGCCTTCAAAGAAATTATAAATCTCTGTGGGTGAAAGCAATCCAGACACTTGCCTGAACTCATGCCATTGAAAACTGGGCTCAGCAACTCTTCATAAGACATAGTCCCTCAGACTGTCAGGCAGATTAAGACTGTCATACGTCTTGATGAATAAGGAACAACAGGATAGAATGGCAAGGGCCAAAGGAGAACTAGCAGGAGAGCTTTTCAAACTAGTCCATTTGTATAATCATTTGAACACGTCTCTTCCCCAATAACAGCCACTCGCTTTCCCAATGGTGCATACTGCCAGGCTACTATGTTCGAATGTAAAAACCATGTTTGTATCCAGTCGTTTTGGAGATGTGATGGCGATGATGACTGTGGCGATGGTTCCGATGAAGAACTTCACCTGTGCGGTAAGAGGGAGAGCAATGGAATGAATGGGAGTGGTGTGGTCTGGCAAAAACTTCGCGTTTCTTACATGCAGCATGTGACCTTGGAGGGCAGATGTACAATTTTTGAGGAATGGACATGATCAGTAATGGTGTGAGTTCACTTGGCCTTTGTGCTTCAGTTTTCTTTCTGTTACTTGAGAAAGTTAAGCAGACCATGTTTTTAACCATTTTGTGGCCTTAGAAAATGATTTCTTCAAAAGATATCTTGCTTGGAAACCCAGTGTGCATAAATAAAGACAAATCTGTTGCATTTGAGGTCAGGCTGTGTGGGGAGGTGGGGAGGTGAGGAGATTAGGGGGAGATTGTACCTCTCCTGCTCCATCCTACTTTTGGTGCTCCTAGAAGTTAGCCTGTTCAAACTCCTAGAGCTTTCTGGAGCACCTTTAGAAAATTTCAAGATTCACTTAAGTCTTTGCAGTCACTCCTCTTTAACATCCTAATTCAAAGCTGTCTAATCTTGTTGAAAGCATATTGTTTAAACTAGTGAATCTCAATTCAGGATCATGTCAAATTCAGTGGGGGGATGGGGTGTTTCAAAATCACATACCCTCACCCATGCCTGTAACCCTAGCACTGTGGGAGTCCGAAGCCAGAGAATCACTTGAGCCCAGGAGTTCGAGACTAGTCTGGGCAACATAGTGAGACCTTGTCTCTACAAAAATAGAAAGAAATTGGCTAGGCATGGTGGCATGTACCTGGAGTTCCAGCTATTTGGGAGGCTGAAGTGGAAGGATCACCTCGTCCCAGGAGGTTGAGGCTGCTGTGAACCTTGATCTTTGCCACTGCACTCCAGCCTGGGTGACAGAGTGAGGCAAAACATCATGTACTCTGGCCTCATCTTAGTTTTAGATCTAATGAAGCAGAATCTTCAAAGATGGGTCCTGTGCACATTTTTTTTTTTTTTTTTTGAGTCAGAATCTCACTC